TCCAAGTCCCCCCACCCCTTAAGGGGGTCGGGGGGTCAAAAACCCCCAAGATGTGATTTTTTTTACCTGAAACCCCAAAAATTCGGAATCAGCATGAAAAATTACCTTAGAATCGATATTTTTCTCATGCACGTTTTTTCACAAATTTTGGACCAAAAAAGTGTAAATTCGACTCCATATGACACATTGAACGCACTCATTTGAGCTGTCAAGCAACATTTCCATATATACAAACATGTAATTTTGTTTATGCAGAAAACAATAAATATGTGTATTTGAGTGCAGATTTTTATAATTTAGTGTTATTTTATGATAAAAAATCGACGTTTAAAATTTCAGACATAAAGCTGACAAAAAAGTTGATAGTTTTTTTTACATAATTCATTCATGCAGATTTTGTAAACGATGCGGAATTTCATGCAGAAATTTTAATCGAAGAATCTTTGAGCAAAAACAAAATATATTCCAGAAAATCAAACATGCAGCTCGCTTTATTAATTGATGTGTTTTCTATCCGCGAATAATAGTGCAGATTTAGCGAAGTGGGTGGCTGAAGTAATAAACGTAAAATTATTTGTTTAGTGTATGTCTAGCTGCATGGTTCAATATAGTTTTCTGACATAAAGCAAAAAGAAAAGTTACTTGTTAGAGTGGCTCTTGGTCTAAAAAGATTTTTTATTTTCAAAAATGTAAAAAATTAAAATCTATTTATTTCTACTGTTTTATTTTAACAGTTTAACGCAGTTTAATCGATTCATTATGATTTTGTCAAACCGTGACGGCCATATTGTCACAAACGTCAATTAGTACTCGGAATACGCATTAGAGGCGTTGTTAGCTGCGGGCATGATCAGGCTTCGAGAACACCTCCTACAATATCGATAATATTTTTATTGAAAATTAATCCAAGCAAATGATTACAAACTCACATTTGAATCATCTTTTGGATTGTTCGCATACCAAATTCGTACAGCATTAAATATATCAATTTCTGGCGCATAAAATATATCACGTTTTAATAAATCGCATAGCATATCTTGTGGTATTCTTTTGAACGATTCATGATTTAGTAATTTGGTTGAGTTACGATCGATAAACTTAATATATGTACTTTCTTGCGCATCTGAACAATACAATTTCGCTGATTTTAACATCGTATAGCAATTATCCAGCGTCAAATGAGATGCCAAAATCGTTGCGAGCGATTCTTTCAACGATTCCAACCGTATACATTTGCTGATATGAACTTCTTATCGATAAAATAGTTTTATGGGCTGGAATTTTGGTGTTTTCAACAATAACATCTGAATGCTCAGAATTCCTACATAAAGCATTCCACAGCTGAAAGAGCTCACCTTTTGAATGAAATAAAGAAAATACATTAAAAAAAATATATGTCTTGTCTCCGCTAATTTCCGTGCTATTCGTATACTTAAACAGTCGTTAGCAGTATTGAAAATAGTTATAATTTTATTAAAACTTGTACTCCACGGGTATTGAACCAACGAATATGTTTTGAAGAAAGTTTACTTCATCAATATGGCAAGGTTATTCGGAAACTCTATAATTATTTATTTATTATACTTTTTGACAGTTGATACTGATTCGATTGTGGACAAAAAGTGGATAATATCATGTGTGTATGCTGTGTATGTATTACATACTTTAGATAATATTTTTTTGGTGTATGGTGAGACGAAATTATGTCAATCTTTAAAAAGTTAAAATTATTCCAATGAAGCATATCAAAGAAAGTGTCATGGACAAAAGTGCGTTTTCAAAATAACCAAATATTTTTTCATTGTTTTTATTTTCTTATTTTTGAATTATAAATTAACATGTTATAAATCTGTTGAATGTGAAAATGGTTTAATAATCAATTGCATCGGGAAATAGTGGCATACAGCAATTATAGTATGATTTTTTATCCCAGAATGTGACCGGTTTCCATGAGCACCATCCTTTCTTCTGTATAAGATCCAAATCATCAGCGCCAGTATGATGGGGATCTAATATCAAAAATTTCAGTTCATTCGTTTGGCTATTATAGTCGATGCCAAGAATGGTATGAGCCAAAACTCCACCGCCAATCATAATTGGTGTTCCGTAGGTTGTAAAGTGTTGAGCAAACGTTGGTCCGTGTTGTGCCATCTCACCGCCCGATGTTACATGTAAAATGCGAGAATCAACATTCAAAAAATATTGCAAGCACATTGACACTTCCGTTGATCCAATCCATTGACGGGAATTTTGAAACGAAGCCGGTTTATCGCCCAATTGAACCAAACACTTTTGAATTTCACCATGCGTTGGAACTGACTTATTCGTATAACCTTGCAAACGGAACCATGAAAATAATGTTTGGAATGATCGATATGCACAGCCCCAGCCATTGTCATCGAAGTTATCTTGCATATAATGGTAGTATAAATAATCGCCTTTCACAAGATATTGTTTACCGTCTTTTACTACAAATCAAAACAGATATGGTAGATTTGTAATTTTATTATTACAAATAAATGGATATTGAGTTTTTTTACCTGAACTTTTCAAACCGATGTGTGGATTCAGTAATTGAGGCCCAGTTGCTTCATTGTTAAACGAGTAGGCGTCATCTCGTCGTAAGTATGGTCGTGACAAGTTTAAAATGATGTGATTTTGTTTCCGTTGGGCAATTTGATCTTTGTCTAAAACAAGATTCCTGGATTAAAATTTTAATTTTGATAGTAGAAAGATTTTGATTCATTACCATCATCTGCTGATGTCGTCGGATAAACGAAGCTGATGAAATGCTCCAAAACTTTTGGATAGAAAGTAAATGTATGCAATGGTCTATCCACATCCGTTACGCTCACTTCAACACACGAAATATTTCGGTCGATTGATTTCAAGATGATTTCGTACATTTGATTCGCACCCATGCTCAATCTCACAAACGCCAATGCATCAAAATCGATTTGCGTTGACTTCTTCGAACTGTCAAGCAATATATCTGTGTATTGAATAGAAAAGAACTAAATTCCTCAAAAATACCATTTCTAATTTAGACAATTCTGTAAACAAAAAAAAAACTCACTCGAAAATATGGCGTTAATATCATCAACAGACTCTTCACCCGCTTCCATTTTAATATTCAACGTTTCGAAATTATTCGAATTGCATTGTGTAGCATCAGTTTTCGTTTGTTGAACAGCTGCATTGATTTTAGCATTTTTACCGATGCCAACGAGACCTTTGTCTTTCTTCAAAACGATTTCTGTGCCGGAAACTTTCAGAATCGGCTTATTTGTTTCACAAATTTTCGTCCGCGTTGATTTCAATAGATCGAGCAATTGACCGCGATAGTTGGAAGCACTTTCTATCGAATATTTCAATTGGAATTGTGTACGTAAGCAAACCCATTCCTTTTTCAATTCGTCATCGATAAACTCAGCGTATGATACATTTTCCCATTCATTTGACTTATTCTTCCACACAACAGTCAACTTCTCTTCGGCCGATGATAGATTGTATTTTAATTGCACGGAATCTGTTTCCTAAAAAATAGTAAAATTGATCAATTATTCTCATTAAAAAGAATCTTATGAATTGAGTTGACAGACCTCAGGTTGAAGGTTGAAATTTGTATCGTTCGACCATTGAATTATGCCCAAATTCTTGAATCCAAACGGCAAATTATTCTCCACAGACTCATTCAAACTGAATCCCAAAACGAGAACTGCATTATTTTGAACCAATCCATATATGCGGCCGGTTGTTGCGACTTTGACACATTCAATACGCTACAAAATGTAAACAATGTTGAATGAATATTGTGAAAATCATTATTGCACTATAAATTGTTCATACCGACAGTAAAGCCTTTGAAAGTTTTATTGCAACTGACATTTTAATTGTTGGCCAAATAATCAAATCGACACAAGTATAATATGCAACAATTTACAACGTGCACAACAATGTTATTTAAAGTATTGAACAGAAGTGAATGTGATTGTGATACGTGTCAAAATATATCAGTCATGATACTGTAATATCATGAAATTTGACAATAGATGGCACCAAACGTACGGTGAACTTCAATTTCAATACAAATGATTTTTAAAACAGTTTTTTTTACTCTAAACTTTTTTAGAATATTTTTTTAATTAAAGCGTTTTGTTACGTTGTGACTTTTTTGAATTCAATAAAAATGAAAATATAGAAATAGCTTAATATAAAATTGTTGAACTGCGATGAAGCAATGGTAAAAAACAATGAAAATGTATTTACTTTATCGTTTTAAATAACTAACTGAAAAATATATTTAAGAAAATTGATGACTTCCATTGAAAAATTATAGCAATATTTTTTTCGTATATTATGAAAGCTTTGAAAATGAAAGAGAAAAGAGGTGCTTAGAAAAAATTAAACATAATTATAAATGTAACCTTAGATCAAGACTATTTAAAAGCTTCTTAGATTAGATTTGTGTGTGTTTTTTTTTTCAGTCGCCATATCTTCTGAACGCGTTTGCCGATTATCTGAGAGATACCGGGCATTGTTATTATTTGACAATAACTGGCTATCAACTTAAAACTTGAAACACCGGTCGTCAAACTTTAAAGCTCTTGATTTCTAATATTCTCTTTTATTTACTGGTCGTAACTCATTGACATATTTTATAACTCTTGATCTAGCTCTTGACTAGTGTGACTTAATCGTAAAACAATCGAAAATACTCATTGTTAGAAGTGTGATTTCAATTCAAAACAGTTACGGTTAGGAAACACTGGTTACAGTTTTTTTTAAAGAGAAAAAACAAAGTTCATTGAGATGGTAATATTTTCCAAATGTTCTTAGGTGTGCAGTAGGGTGTTTCCACATGGAAAATACAATGGGAGGAAATGACAGCAAATTTTAAAATTGGCGCGCTGTTTAGTTTCGATTTGAGTTGTTAAATTACATTGACGTCCCCTTTGAAATTGGTGGCGCCACCGTCGGCTCAATGAGACTTGAAGTCTTCACATCTTGTCATTGGGAAAATATCAAAAAGTGGCTAGCATCATTCTGAAGAGCGTAAAATTCTGTATAAGATCATTTGATTTTCGATGCTGATTGGTCGCCGATGTCACTTCCTGTACTAAAAACACATTTGTGAATTGATTTCATGTCGCATTCACGCCAGAATCTGTAATTAATGAAATTTTAAGATTGAACAAAATTAAAAACATGAAAAATAATTTTAATATCAATATTATTGCTTAAATATTTAAAAAGTAACACAAAAACTAACAATTTTACCACAATAAACCAAAACAATGCAAAATTGCCAATTCATTTGACACATAACCTGTCATTTGTCATGCGTGAGCGAATCACGCTTCATTTTGGCGTGAATGCGACATGAAATCAATCTACAAATGTGTTTTTAGTCCAGGAAGTGAAATCGGCAACCAATCAGTATCAAAAATCAAATCTTATACAGAATTTAACGCTCTTCAAATTGATAATAGCCACTTTTTAATATTTTCCATGTGGAAACACCCTAGTGTGCATAAACAATCTGTTTTTAATTTTACTTCCCATTAGAAACTTGAATAAGTTACAAGTAAGTAAGTAATTTACATAAATTTTATATTCATTATTGAAATAATAGTCCAATTAAATTTACCCGAGTAGAAACAGCGGATATTTTAAAAACTAAATGGAACTAAGTATGGAAGATACAACAAACTGGATCGATTTTTGGAAAGAAAGAAAATTATTACATAAAGAGAAAAATTTGAAATCTTTATTGACATATGAAGGTGGCTGGTATGGACCATGCACTGGTGTGGATACATCTGAATTCATATCATTTGTCAAAAGTTTGAAAGACTATTATAAGCTGCGTGGTTCTATATACGAAATTGGATGTGGCCCGGGTGCATTTCTATACGTATTTCAATCAATTGGATTTGAAGTAGGTGGTTTAGACGTTAATGAACATTTTCTAGAATTTGCCAGGGAATGTATACCGGTCTCTGTTTTTGATAATTATGAGGCGTGTGATGTGCCAATTGAAGAAAAGTACGATTATATACTCATTACTAATTCTATAAACCTATTTCCGAGTGAGGAATACGTTTATTTAACTTTATCAAAATGTGTCGAGAAAGCGAATGTGGGTGTATTAATTATCGAAATTAATGATATCAATTATATCAACGAATATTCCAAAATAATTAAAAGTTGTCCAGCTATAGAATTTAAAGATAAAAATGCTGGCAAAAAGTATATCACTGGAAAAAGACTTTACTTGAATAGGGACTTCTTTATTGATTTTGCAAAGAAATTCAACTTATCGGTTAGTTTCCAGAAAACAAACGAACTTCTCCACCACGGACATAGCACAAATTATAGATTCAATGCATTTTTAACGAAAAAATGATGTAATGTATTTACGACTAATGTTCAAATTTATATTCAGAATAAAGAAAATTAAAATGAAAAATTTCATTTCTCGTCGAAAATATAATATAACCAATTTTAAAAACATTTTCAAGTACACGACAGAATACAGAAAATTTATGTATAAGACTTAGAAATATAAAAAAAAAAATATTTGAACAACATTACATTTAAATAAAAAGTCTTACAACAAACGAAGCTATCCGTACTGAGCATTATATTAACTTTATCTAACTATAACATAGTTCCGTTGTTGTTTATTTATTTCTTTTATTATTTAAAGGTATTTGCAGCATTTTTCCATAGAACATGAATGGAATTGGGCAGTTGGATTTGATTTTGGATTGAATATTGGGTGCATTTCTTTTTGTGATAGATTAGTGAAATATGAGAGAAAAAACCTTCTAAATGAGTTTGAAATTGATTAGTTATGAAATAATTTCTGAACATATCTACCTTTCAAAAATGTTATTATACGATAACGATGATGGGTCATGTTAAGTTGTGTTTAACAATAATTTTAACTTAAATTGTCCTTCATTAGCTTGCGAATAAAAGTCACTTGTTTGTTAATATTCCAAAATAATAAAAATAGAACTTAAAAACCTAAATTTCACATCGATTGCTCTGCGTACAATATTTTGCTCATTCACAATTCTTTTATGACAATTGTATTGATTTAATGACGATAAAAGACCGCTTCAAATTGGAATATCATTGTGAAAATCATTACATTGATTCGAAAGAGAGAAAATAAAGAGGAGATGTATTAATCCATATTTTGAATGGCTTCACTGTTTGTAAACTATAATTTTGTTTTCGATGAACAAAACTATGTAAACTTGAAATGATTCTCGTGCGAAAGTTACATGCCCGCCTCCGAAATTCATATCCCGATGATCAAACATATAATCAAATTTAACAAGAATCGAAAGAGAAAAAAAAAGAGAAACGGCAAAAGATAAATAGGAAATTATTGTTTTGCTGTCAGTGTATAATGTTCGATACGATGTCGTTTACTTTAAGTGCGTGTGATAGTACGTTGCTATTGCGGGGCTTCATTTTCTCACACACAAAAAATCAGTAGCAACAGCAGCAGCCGTACCATTGCGCTCACTGGTATCACACAGGGCGTGTGCATGGTAACACGCACATGCATTTTGTATGGTATTATTCTTTCAAAAGGGTCATTATTAAATTATAAATGTTACAAGTACAAGTAACAACGATGAACATTTCAGATTGTATTGTTATCATTTCTCTTGTCGTTTTTTTTTCGGTAATTTTTCTTCTATCATTGTTTTTCGCCAAAAACTGAAAATTTCCGCCGTTGAGAATATTTAAACGTTCATCTTGGGTATGCTTTTGTAACAAATAGTGTGTTTTATAATAAAACATTGCCATCTCAGCGTGATACAACGAATCGGCTGCCGGGATATAAATATTCGATTGATCTCTGTTGATTCAAATAGAAAATTTCACTGCCATTCCACAGGCGAAATCCGCACACATACCGCAAACATAAAATTCGATGAATTTCGATTCGAAGTCCTCTAGAGACCGGATGCTAAATTCATTCTAATTGAATATTATTTTTAATTGGAAGTTTATTTTTCAGTCAACGAATTTTATCCTATCCTCCTTATTCCGGTGGATTTCTATCCCTTTTGTTGGCTTGTTTTAAGAATGCCAAAATGCCACATACGTTCACGCAGCTTTTAACTCCGGTGAAACCCTTAACTACATGCTGAGTTTGTTGAATCTTATCGTCGGAATTCCCTAGCGCATTTGACAGTCGCTTCGTTTACCATTACATTTTATATTTGATGTTTACGTTATTAATAAGCAAGTGTATTTGAGTTTTCGTTATGCAAATAAAATCCTGATGATGAGGCTAAGAGAGTTAATTACGATTGATTTTGATTTTAGTTAAACGAAATACTTCTCATTACTCTTGAGTGTGTGTGTGTGTGTTTTTTTTCCGCCTCAGTCAATCAATTGTTGAGTGGCAGCTCACGACTCAAAATTAACTCGGAAAACGTTCCATTTTAGAACAAATTTCATAAACCCAAAAAAACCAATTGCTTCGCTACGTACGGATAATGAAAAATGTAAACAATAAATGTTATTCTTAATCGCAGTTGGAATCGTACTTAATTCGATCAAAATTATTAGCACGTGGCCATTGTCGAAAAGGCGAACAACACATGAGAGTTGTCGAGCACGTGCTCTTCCACACAAACAGATAGTAATCATTATGTGGTACGGTTTGGCAAATGGACTGACTCTTATTCGCTTTTTTATTCTTCACAAAATGCACCGCCAAACACGATGCACCGGCGACGTCGTCGTCATCGTGCCACACACATACATATATATACGCCTTCTCATTTTACCACTCAAGCATTACGATGGTGTATAAATATAGACACGTGATCGATGCCGTGAAATGTCAACATTTTACAAGCCAGGGATTAGCCACTTTTTCATCCGTTCAGACTTAACCTGAATCAAAATCTATTTTGCGTGCAATCGGCGAATATGCTCAGCAA